TCTATTTTTGTATTCACAGGTCGACCAATTATGATTTTAAGTAAATCATAGTTGTGAATACAATATACGAGATACTAAAAGAGATAAAGAGAGATATAAATGTGACTGATTGATCTAGGGTATTGCATACTATATCTACTCGATAACGTAATGCCCAATTTTGAGCTGCTATATATTCCTAACAGATGCATCGCAACGAGCTCTCGAAGTATGCTGGTCGCACGGATTATTTGCTAGTATGAATATTGCCAAGAAGAGAGAGTTAATGTTTAGCCCACCATGTGCGAGTGGGAAATGATGGGTTTTCTTTGTGAATGATGGGCCGCTCATGATGGGCTAACCCAGCCCATGAAAGGAAATAACTACACTTGGCAGTTATTGTTTAGACACAAAAAGTGAGAACACACGTAAGAGTGTGTGTGTGTTGCATATTTTCATTATCAGAAACTTATTCTCACAAAAAGGACAAAAGCAGAAGGGATTTTGTTCAACGATCTAAGGATTGTTCTCTCTCTCGAGGCTGCGATAAGTGCATTTAATCTGTGGCAAAAGAGGTATGTTCGTTCATGTAATATACTTCAAACGATCGGTGATTCAAGTATGAAAATGGGCACGTATTTTTCGCAATTTTTGTATTATATTTAGGAATTTGTTTCCGTCACATTTAACTTTCAACACTTCACGGTCTAGTAGTTATACGAAAACAGTCAGCGCAAGCAGCCAAGTAGGGCTTATAAAGCTTAGCATCACAGGCTGATAAAAAACCAGCATATCTTTGACGAAAGTTCTACCGAGCAAGCTCGTGGGGAACTTTATTTGCAGCGTCGAGGGTTCTAGGAGAAGATATTTGCTAGCACTCGAACAATTCTTGTATATCTCGCCTTTGTTAATGTGTTTCACGACATTCATACTATCACCATCCAAAACAAAGGTTTAGGAAGGAAACTGAAGTGCAAGGCTTACCTACAGTCTACAGATGACACTTGGTAATGCTGCCTCCACTGCCATGCGAAGGCTTAAAGACATTGACATTAACATGTTCTTACGGAGATTCGCTCTTTCATATTTGTCTTTCTTGTTATCACTTTCCTGTTCTTTTTTTCCCTCGTCTTTCTTCTTCCACGGTGCTAGCTCTGTGCACCATAAGCCCTTGTCAACGCACCTCGATCTGAAATTTAAACCACCAACCTCTCGCACTCTCTTTATGTCTCTCTGAAGGTCATGACCTCAGTCATGAAGGTTGCAATCTCTCTCGATCCATTTGCATCGACGTTGCTCGCCTCTAGGAAACAGATCTTTGTTTGTGCGGTGGCAGAATTCTGAGGGACTGAATCACCAGAGATCATGACCTCCATGGCCGTCATTCACATTTCACATACACACCCGTGCCACGCAATGTTAACAGCTGATCGATGCAATAATTCCTCGTCTTCCTGATTCTTTTCCGCACTAGAGAAGCATATTTTACTAGGCTCAGCTAGCTTAACGATGCCGTAATTTTAATTTTTTAACCGTCTAATTTTAATTTTAATGGAGGAAACCAGGACAATACTTTGACCGGTTTCATTTGTTTGTTTGTTTGTTTTTTTGACTTTCCATCATTTCCTTTTTCTTTTGGCTTAATTTAGGATTAGAGAATTTACCGAGGCCCAAAAAGCACCAATTTGAAAAGGATACTCTACATATCCCATAAAGTTAAAATCCTTGAACATGAAAAATTTTAAAAACAAATTATATATTGATAATCACAAGAAAAAAATATTATCACTAAGTAAAAAGAAATTATTAATGCCATTAGAAAGATCTATTACATTTCAAAAATGAAAAAAAAAAACACTTGAAATATTGGCTTTACAATTAACAACAAAATCATTGTGCATTATGACTTCTCATTCATTTCGCTTAAATCAAATTGCTTCGGAATGACTCTTTGGTGGCCTAAAAAAATTAGTGAAATCGCTTTCATCACTAGTAACTTAGGATCGCATGGTGTCATCACTCTTTCATCACTAGCATCTTCAATTGAATTGTTCATCTCGTTTTCATCACTAAATTTATTTTCATTAGTGAAGTTGCTTTCAGCACGCTCCACTCATCTGAACAAGATAAGAGAAAAAAAAAATCAAGAATTGTTTGTCTAAAATATATATATTGACAGATACCAACTAAAGTTAGGAGTCAACAGATACCTCTTACTTTCTTGCAATCAAAATGAACTTTTCTCCACTGTTATGTGTCAATCGATTACAAAATCCTAAAATAATCCAAAGTTTAATTGTCCAAAAATTGATTACACAAAATTTAGGAGTTAATGTCCTTAATTCCTAAACCAAAAAAAATTATTTAGTTTTAATTGCATGACATGTAGACTTTAGGTGTATTTTTCATTATTAGAATATATATATTTTTAAAAATTAATTAAATTTTTTTAAAAAAATTATAAAAAATCAGATTGGGCCGAGCCAAGGCCGGCCCGACCCGACCTTCTTTTCTTCCTCCCTTCCGCGCGGGACTGGGCTCGGTCCGGCCCATTCCAGCCCCTCCTCCCCCTCCTTCTTCTTCTTTTCTCCTTCCTTCCTCGCTTGTTCCTTCCCCCCTTCTGATCGTCGCCGTCGGACCGATGGACGGTGGAACGGGACCCATTCCACCGAGTCAAATGAACGGAGGGGAAGCGTCAGTGAAGGGCATTTGGCATTGAATGCCCTTCAATGCTCTGCCTTCTTTCTCTCTCCCTGAGAGCTCCTCCACCGTCCAAAAAGGAAGCCCCGAAAGTCAAGGGGACAAGCAGAGGCTAGCGGAACAGACTTAAGCAGAGCATGAGTGGAGGAGAGGTGGGCGAGCAGGTGGCCGCCGACCGGCTATAAAATCCGGGGAGAGGAGAGAGAAAAAAAGGGGACTCGGTTTTGGAAGGAAGGGGAAATCTGGAGAGGAACCGAGAAACATAGGGGGAGCTCGGTTTGGTGAAGGACCGAGAGTAACGACCGTGAACGAGGGTGACCGAGAGAGAGCAAGGCCGAGTGAATCCTTCCGATAGCAGCCGCGCCGGAGCTCTCTGTCAATGCCACCCGAGACCCTGTTTTCCATGAGTCGCGCCCCTGTTTTTTACTCTGTTTTTTGGACGCGTTGGCCGGAGCTCGCAGGCCCCTGGCTCACGCGAGCTCCGGCCCCGTCCATCCTTCGTCTCATCGCTAAGTGTGTTGTAGCTTGCATACTGGGAGTCCCGGCTCGGGTATGAGTCCCGGTTGAGCCAAGTATCCGCCGTTTTTGGAGCGCCTTCCACCTGCTCGATTAAATGGTTCAACTAGATCTGAAAATTTGCGTTCAGAATGTTTGTTCCCAGAATTGTCCCGGCCATGAAGGGGTCAGCAAGGATAGAGAGTATCGTTAGCAGCCTTAGTTGAAGGCCGTGACTCGCCGAGCATCAGTCGCGGCCGGATTTGGAGGCCCGGTTGCTGCTGGTGCTTCTCGGAGTCCGGGAAGAGGCGGTTTGGCGGAGCGGGAGTTCTTGTTCTTGTTTGGCTGAGATGGGGCCGGGGCTGACCGAGGGAAGCCTTGCAGAACAGGGGAGACACGACCACGGACACCGACGCCTCTCGGCGGCCTAGCGAGGGCCGGCTGAGCGAAGCCCTGCAGAACAGGGGAGACACAACCACGTCGAGCAGAGAGGCAGGGGAAGCCGAGTCTGCAGGGGGGGGAGAGTCGGGTCGGATCCAGGTTGGGCGAGGAGTCCGATCCGGTTTAGGACGGGCCCATTGACCTGGGTCAGTTCTGACCTGATCTGGATCCGCCTATACGATCCGACCAAATTGATTAGTAGCGACCCTAGATAAAAATCGTTTGTAGGTTAAAAATCTAAATCATAAGTCGCGATATGATTTGGGAAAGTCCAAATTAAGTCTCGGATCTAGACTTAATGCGTACCAAGCTACGCCATTTTCCCTCTCCCGAAGAAAATTTGGCGGGGTGCGACAATATTCTCATTTTATTTTGTTGAGTTATTAAATTCTTTTATTTATGAACAATATCCACCAAATCTTTACTTAGGGTAGAGAATAATATCCACTTTTATAGAAGTTATGATTGGATTCCTCTTATACTACTTCTCATTCAAATATTATCACTTTGATTTGTTTTTTTAAAATAAAACAGAAAAATAAATCTCATCTGGTTCCTTTTTAAGTTGTTTGTATGGGAGGCACCAACAACGTGACTTAATATTTTCTCTCTGTTTTCCCTTTCTCATCCATTTTGTAGATGTGGTGTTGACTGTTATGAGGTGATTTCCTCGGCCAAAATATTTCCGCATTGCCTATTTGCATTTATTGCCTGTGATGCTTCTTGATCTAGGGTGGCTGGACTACTGCTGCGAGATTTGGAGATTGGAGACTGGTAGTTCTGGTGTAGTTTATGTGGAGCACTTTCTCTTATTTGGCAGATGGTTCAACCCATGCGGTTGTCACACTGATTAAGAGTTGCTGTTAATTTTCATTTATCACGAAATTTATGTTGTTTAATTTTCTTTGGCCAAGATTTGTGTTTGAGGAACATGAAAGTGCAGAAATGCCATTAATTCCACTCCGAAATCCTGGTAATAGTTTCCATCTATAGAGAATCGGGACTGGATTTTGCATTTGAATTCTCTAGCCCGACAGATAGAATTCGATTGAAGATTTCGTGTTGCACGTGATACTGAGTTGATCATCACTAGATTCTCGGGGAGGCCTGTTAATTGGTTCTGGAGGAGGCAAACTCTTCCTAAGCATAGCTCTGCTGCTTTTCAACGCAATTTCTTGTTGCTAGGATGGTGAAGAGATAAGGCTGTCAAAAGAACCCGGTCAAACATGATCCGATCCGACCCGAACTGAATTGAAAATTTTCGTATTGGATCGGTTAGGCCTTAGCTTATTTAGATAACATTAAAAATAATTGGGTATTGTTTTGGATCTATTGGGCTCGGATACCCGAGCCCAACCAAAACAATAAAACCCTTTTTCCTTTGTTCACACTAGAACCCAATCGAAACATTGAAACCCTATCTTGCTCATGAGGCGGTTGTTGCTCTCCTCCTAGGAGCCGAAAGTCCTTGTCCACGACCTCGACAGTGGCGGCGGCGGCAGCGGCGGCTCTGGTGCCTCGGCCCCGCCGCATTAGGAGAAGAAAACCAGAATTGGCGCCCCCGTCTTGGGTCGATCCCTCACCAGTTGATTCCGCCACCATGAAGCTCACTGTGAAGACGCTCAAAGGCACCAACCTTGAAATTAAAGTGCAGCCCTCCGACACCGTGAGTTTCCTCCTCCTGCTCCAATCCATTCGTTCGTTTGGGTTTCGTTTGTTTCCGTTGATTTTTGTCAGAAATTGCGAGCTACAAGAAGATTAGAGTCGTTCGTAATCTAGAATTGCACGAGTTTTTACTTAGGAGGATGGGAAAGGTAGTGTTTTTCCGCCCTACAGTCGAATTTGCTGGGTTGGGGACAATGGCGGATTGGTGTTTTTGCTACTATCATATTGATGCATGTGGATTTGCCAGAAAGGTAGTTTTACGTTGTGAATTATTGTTGTTGTTTGTGTTCTGATTGGAAGTCCTTTCTTTCTGTTTTTCGGGCTAATGTAGATAATGGCTGTCAAGAAGAACATTGAAGATGTACAGGACAACTACCCATGTGGGCAGCAGTTGCTGATTCACAGTGGGAAGGTGTTGAAGGACGAGACCAAGGTCTCTGGAGATGGCTGATTCACAATGGGAAGGTGTTGAAGGACGAGACCACATTGGCTGACAACAAGGTCTCTGGAGATGGCTTTCTCGTTGTGGAGATCGAGATCGTTGAGTTCCAGATCCAATCCGAAGGCTATCGACGTGATTGGCCCCGGTGGTGCCGCGGTGCACTACCGCGGTGCGGGGGAGTGGCCATAGCGGCGGGGAACAGGGTGGGGGGCTCTGTACTGTTTTTGAAATACGAAACCCAACCCGACTCGACCCGGACTGAACTGACTTGACTCGATCGTGCGGCTATATCCTGTTCGGATCTTGTCTCAGGTCGGGCCAAGCACACATGCTCAGTATTTCGAGTCGAGTCGAGTATCATGAAAACCCGACCCGACCCGTTGACACAAATTTGTCCTTTTCTGGGCGATGTTGTTATTATTTTTGTTTGGCTTTCGTTATGTGGCAGCTTGTCCTTTTGATTTATCTGATGAACTTAGTTTTAGGTTTGTGATGCTGGGATCCTGTTGATTTTACTTTTCTTCCTTGTCGTGGAATGAAGTGCGAAATCTTTTTTGTTTGAGGCGCAATGGACAAGTAAATAATACATGTGTAAGAATGATATCATGTCACCAATCAAATGAATATATGTGTAACAATGATATCATGTAACCAATCAAATGTCTTTGGTCATCGTAATTCGGACATCGGCAACAAATGCAATGTGTCATGAAAGCAAGAACACTTGGTTGGTTGGTTGACTCTGTTATTATGCCCTGAAATATCAACAATGTATGATGTACTTTCTTTGGTGGACAATAACCTCTGCAGTGTTCGTGGACTCTCTTTTTCTTTGTGTAAGATGGTGTTTGTTGACCACACAGAGGCGATTTTAATTTCAAGTGATGCTTGAGTAATACAAATGAACATCATCATGACTTGGTGGATCATTGTTTACCTAAAGCAATAGCACATGGAGGATGTCCTTGCCCTGGCTGATAATTTTGCTTTGCCTTTTTTCCCTCCTTTGGGATATGTAACTGCCGATACTGTTGCACGCAAATATCTCATAACCGAAGCATTTCTGAGGAAAGATCATTTGGTAACAAAGCTATAAATGATTGAAGTCGCTTTTGTGGGTAAATTTGTCGGGTTACATACATGTTGTAGCCATGTGCTTGGGTTCATGTTGTTAACTGCTCATATCACGTGGTAGCTTACTAGTTACTATCATTCTATCTTTAGTGGACAGCAACTTTTGTGGAGGCTCCTTTCAAATCTTTCATCTATGATCTGCTGCCAAAATGCAGATAATGATAGGATAATTTGAAGGTGAAACACTCACCTCACAACTCAAGGAAGAGAAGGAGACATATTAGCTTTTTCTTTCTTTTTACTCTTAAATGACTCATAAACATATCTAGCATTCCAAGGAGATAGGTTCTTAGAAATTTTCAAAACATTAAACTAGACAAGAAACATGAACAGTCAATATGCATGCATGTACGGCATTTATGAATTTGGTTTAATTATTAACATTGATCCTTAAATCAAATTATCTTCCATCAATCATTCCAAGCAGACTCTTGAACTTACGAAAGGCGTCAATCTTGAGAGGTTTAGTAAAATTATCTGTTACTTGATTTTACGTATTTTGCTTGTATCCCTTCGTGACTAATCTATCCTTATACCTTGTCACTTCCCCTTTCTCGTTCTTTTTGGCCTTGTAAAGCCATTTGACACCGATTGCTTTCTTGTCCTTCAAAAGATCAGCAAACTCCCATGTTTGATTCTTTTCAATAGCTTCAATTTCTTCATTCAAGGCTTTCCCCCATTTTTCTTCTTTGACAACATCATCATAGACAAGTGGCTCACAATTTGCAAGAAGGCATACAAGGTGAAGCTCATTGGTGGCTTCATAAAGCTCAGACAATTTCCTTGATCTTGGTCATAACTGTTCATCGACACCATTTGAAGAAGTTGTTGGTGATGGACTTGAAAAGGATATTGGAGAAGGAGGTGATGACTGATCATTCAACTCCATTTGGCTAGAATCACCTTGAACAATCGCTTCATCTTTTGGATTGTCTTCCCACATGCCTTCTTCATCAAACTTGACATTTTTGCTTATATGCACTTTTAAAGTATTATGATCAAATAATCTATAGGCTTTGGATGAGGAGTCATACCTAATAAGAATAAGTTTTTTGCTATTGTCTTCCAACTTCGATCTTTTTTGGTTTGGTATATAAGCATAAGCAATGCTTCCAAAAAAATGTGAAACATAAGGTGTTTTCCCGCTCCATGCTTCTTGTGGAGTTATGCCTTCAAGTGCATATGAGGGACATCTTTTTTGTAGATAGACTGCACATATGACAGCTTCACCCCAAAAGCTCCTCGAGCAAATTTTTACTTTTCAACATGCTTGGAATCATGTCAAGAATGGTTTTGTTTTGTTCTTCTTTTTTTTTTTTTCGTATAGCCACGCCATTCTGTTTAGGAGAATATGGAGCCGCCAAGAAATACCAAATGCCATGATTCTCACAGAATATGTTGAATGTGAGTGAAGTGAATTCTCCTCCATGACCAGTCCTCATAGCTTTGATAAAATACCCACTCTCCTTTTTAACCAAGTTCTTGAATTGTTTGAAAGTACCAAACATTTCTGACTTTTCTTTCAAAAAATACACTCAAATTTTTCGAGTAAAATCATCAATAAAAGTAATAAAATAATGATAATTACCACATGAGTGAGAAGTGATTGGGCCACGCACATCAAAATGAATCAACTCAAGTGGCTTTTTTGCTCGATAAGTTGCTTCCTTTGGAATGCTAGATCTAGAATGCTTGCCGAGGACACATCCTTCACATAATTGATCAAGATGATCAATATGTAGTAAGCCATAAACCATCTTTTTACGAGAAAGCAAATTGAGTCCACCAAAATTAAGATGGCCGAACCTCAAATGCCGCAACCATGAGAACCATTCACATATGCCTTTATAAGAAATGATCACAAGACTTGCCTTTATGTAGGCTTATTATACGACTTTTACTCTTAAATGACTTATAAATATATCTAGCATTCCAAGGAAATATTTTGGAAATTTACAAAACATTAAACAAGACATAAAAACATGAATAGTCAAGAGGCAAAGATTTAGCAATATTCTTGCGCAACATGGGATCAGGCGTAATGTATGGGGATGGAATGAGGAGCTTCAATGGATGGTTAGAGCCACAAGAGGCAAAGATTTGGCAGCGAAACTCCTCAAAGTATCGTTCCTAGTGACTGTATATTGCACTTGGATGGAGCGCAACCATAGGCGATTTCAAAACAATCCAACTGACATTCAGATTATTTTGGCGAAGGTGCGAAAAAATGTAAGAGGTAGAGCTTCGCTATACCAAAAAATCAAACCTTCGCAAGCTAACTTTGTTTTAGCTACTTTATGGAGACTTCCTACCTCCATATTCTCGAATTATTAGTACTAGTTGTAATGTCGGGGAATAACCCTACGCTGCTGTACATCATCTGTTATATACTACTTACATTTTACACCAAAAAAACATGAATAGTCAAGATGCATGCATGTAGGACATTTATAAATTTGATTTAATTACTAACAAATAACACGTCAAGTTTGTGGAGGCACCTCGTTAAGGACCGTAAAGGTGGCTGCATGATGTTCATAATCCTGTTTCATTTTTTCGGTGACTTGTACATCATTTTGTCATGATGATTGACATCCTTTATCCGTACTTTTTCATGTTCATTTATCTCTTTATCTTGACCATAAAGTCAATCTCTTTCTCACACACACAAATTTCACGTTCATCTATAAACCGATTGGGTTTTGTTGTCAATTATGAATAGTTCTGCGATTCGATGGTTGTTGTTTGTTATTGGGCAATCCACTTGGTACCATCTTTTTAATGGGAATGAAATTCAAAGTAACTAGTTAGGAGGGTGGAGGGGCAGTGGAGTGCGAGAGGGGTGAGGCATGATATTCCATTTGTCCGTTGCGTACGCATTGACCGACTAGTCATCATTGTGGCTAGACTCTCTTGATGTGTGTTCTAGGAAGGTGGGTTGTTCTTCCTGGGATGTTCACTTTGCATGTGGAGACTCCAAAGCCATACTTTTGGATTGGATTAGTAGTAATGACACTGACTATGTGAATCCAAGCTGTTTCTTCCAACACATTACAGTGCCCTTTATCAATTGATTGATATTGATGTCTTGAAACTCTCCTAATTCAACAATGTCGTATGTATGTTGCCAAATGTGACGCGAGCTTTTGCCAGATGCATGTTGAATATTGTCCCTCCTCCTTGAATGTCTTCCTCTTTTGTTTCATGTATCCATCTCAAGTGCGGGATCTCTAAGACATTGCTACGATACGGAAGCATTTGTAATTAGTCAGTTTTTTATACGCGGCTGAAGCCCCTCCCTACTAGTCATGGCCACGGTTCAGGAACCGGCGGTTCCGGTTCGGAACCGGCGGTTCCGGTTCGTGACCATGTATGAACCGGAACCGGAACCGCCAAGGGCGGTTCCGATTCCGGGCCGGTTCCGGTTCCGGCCGGTTCCGAACCTGGAGTGTCCGCTGCTCGGGAGCCGATTATACGAGTGCATCAAATCCGGCGGCAGGACGGTACGTCGGATCTTCTTCTTCTTCTTCTTCTGCTACTCCTCCCTCGCGCGTTCTCTTTCCCGCTCGCCAGATCGTCACATCGCCAGCGGAGCTGCCGTGGATTCTCTCGCGCTCGCGCGCTCCTGAGTTTCGATGCTTCGTTCAGTTCGTTGTGGTTTGGACTCTGGAGAGAGAGAGAGGAAGGGAGGGAAGGACTTCCGGACCTAGGCGTCGTCTCGGTCTCTCGAAGGCTCCTCACATCCGCGCATCGCGACGGTGATCGACTGGCCGGCGCTCGCAACTCCTCCGTCGCCGCCGCCGCCAGGGATTAGCTCCATCGGCGCCGCATCCGCGCCACATCAGTCACAGTAGAGAGAGGGAGAGAGCGGGAGAAGTTCCGGTGGGTTATCTTTTTATTTTTCTTTTTATTTTATTTTAATTTTGCCTGTTTCCAAGGCAGCCTTTGCAGGCTGCCTTGGAAACGGGCAGCAGCAGGGCCTGCAAACGTGCAGGCCCTGCTGCAGGTTTTTTTTTATTTAAAAATTTTTAAATTTTTTTTTGGCGGTTCCGGGCCGGTTCCAAAATTGCTGGAACCGGAACCGGGCCCGTAGGCCACGGGCCGGTTCCGGTTCCGAACCGCGGGCCCGGTCAACGGG